AGACACCATGTGACTCTGTGTCTTTATATAGAGAACAGCTGTTGGCTGCTATATTAATGTTCATAATCTCATATAAAACCTTTAAACTCAATCAATAATGTGCTTTCTGTCCTCCAGCTGCTGCTGCTGCACTACAAGGCCAACACGGACGCTCAGGACAACAACGGCAACACACCGCTTCACCTCGCCTGCATGTACGGGCACGAAGACGTAAGTCAGACACTGACTTTCCTGAATTGTTATTATTATTATAATTATTAGTCGATTACTCCAGTTTTCCCAACTTTTTCCTGCTATTGACCCCTTAATGAAAAGCAACATGTGACTCCTGACTATAAATTGTGAGCAGTTCAATCAATTTAATCAGACAAAACTTAACTGTGTATCAATCAATAATCAATAATCTGTCTGAAAAGTATATTTATTAGTATTAATTAGTTTTTTATTGTTTTCTACCACAAAAAATATGATATTTGTTACATCGTTACTTTTACAGTTTTTGACATCCTTTTGTAACTTGTTTGGTAATTTATGATGTTTGTGGGCAAATAATCAATGCAAGATGTAATCAATATGTTAATCATATAGAAGATAACGCTGCGTGTTGTGTGTCAGTGTGTGAAGGCGTTGGTGTACTACGACGTCCAAACGTGCCGTCTGGACCTGCAGAACGACAAAGGCGACACGGCACTCCACATGGCGGCGCGCTGGGGCTACGAGGGAATCATCCAGGTGCTGCTGGAGAACGGAGCGAGCACCGACATCCTCAACAAGAGCAAAGACTCACCGCTGCAGTGTGCACTCAACTCCAAGGTCAGCAACACACACACACACACACACACACACAGTTTGTGCCTGAATATGTTCGTTTCCTTTCAACAGGAAGCCAGACTCAGGTTTTATTTTGAAGGATGCTGAACGTCTTAAATTTCAGCATAAGAGATTCGATAGTTCTGTTTCTGTGTTGAGGCTGACTGATACACACAGCCTATTATAAACAATATAAATTATAATAAACTCTGTTAAATGATGAAATATGCCTCCCGTGCCTGCCAGCCCTCTTCAGTTTCAGTTTTGATTCCCTGTCATCTGAATTAGTGGATTTAGCTCTAAAGACATTAATGATTATAATCCAGTAATATAATCAATCAATCTGATACACAAATACTTATGTACTTTTTAAACGCACTAATGTGTGTTTCTATGCTGATGATTACTGCTGATAATTAATATTATAATCACTATTTAAAGCCCTGTTTTCAGCGGCTTTAACAGACTCTCATGCTGTTTATCTTTGTGACGTAAAGTTTAATTTGCTGTTCTCGGATCAGAAAAGAAAAAAAGGAACCAAAGCGACGCCAGTCTAATCTGACATTGTTTGGATGTTTCTCGGCTCTGCCGTCGAACTAATCCGATCAGCTGCTGCGGTTTTCCAGCCGCAGCCGACTGATCCTCTTAGACGAGGTTCAACCTGACCTCAGATCAGCTGAAAAAATCAAAACAGATGCTGAAACATTTTCCTCCAACAGCATTATAATAAAGAACTGTAGAAAATTAAATCTGTGATGCAAAAATGATCATTTCCACATAATTGTGGATCGTAATATCCATCAAAATAATTATAATATGATGTTTTTGCCACATCGGGCAGCCCTAAAAACATATATATACACATACACACACATATATGCATGTATGTACACACCTTTTTCATTTTTTTTTAAATACTAAAGAGAAGCACGAAAGATTTAACTCAAATATTACATCAAATTAAGAAAAAGGGAGTGATTTGTGTGGTGCAGACCCTCCAAAAATCGTGATTTCTAATTAAGTTTTCATTAAAATTAAATCTGTGATGCAAAAATGATAATTTTTTACATAACTGAATCGCAATATTGGTCAAAATAATGGCAATATGATGTTTTTACCACATCGTACAGCCCTAAAAACATATATATACACATACATACACACTTTTTTTTATTTTTTTTAAATTACAAAAGAGAAGCACGAAAGATTTAACTCTCTAAATGTCTGAAGCTGCAATTTTCTTAACGTAAGTTAGAAGTTAAAAGGCCAAATCTGTGTTTTTTTTGCATGTTGTCAGTTTTCTACAATCAGATACCTGATTTCTAGTGAAAGGTGTAAAAGAGAGCAAAATCATTTAATTCTCTCAACAAGTTCTGGTCGATATATAAATGGGTGATAAATTAAATGAAAACCTTAATAAATGAGCAGAGAATCGTAATAAATCCAAAAGAGGGAATATTTTTGGGAAGAGAGGTGTTTATCCCTCCGGAAGACTTTTAAAATCTCTGCTAGGACGCTTTATATTGGTTTTAACTTACAAAGTGAAGAGTTTTCTTTGGGTTTACAAAGATTTTGAGTGACATTTCTGCCCTTTACAGACGATCACAACTGGCACATTTTTGGATATTATCTCTTTCTATAAACAAACCAGACCTGCGACTCGGTTAGTGCTCTGTACGTTAGGATTTAGTGACGTTTAATCTCACAACTCCTCTCCAGGCGAAGCCTTGCAGCAGAATATGTCCCACAGAAGAATCTTCTCCTCCGGCGTCCCCGTCTCAGTCCAACGGGGACTTCAGTCACCCGGTGTACAAAGAGATCGCCTTGGCCAACGGACACATAAACCGCATGACCAAGGAGGAGCTCCGCGTCAAGCTGTCGGAGCTGAAGCTTGACACGAGGTAACAGTAAACACACAGTTGGAAAGCTCACAATACATTAAAAAAAGGTGTTTTCTAAACTCTTATCTCTGTGTGTGTGTGTGTGAGCAGAGGTGTGAAGGATGTGATGAAGAAGAGGTTGAAGAGCCACTATAAGAAGCAGAAGCTGATGCAGTCCGCCGCCGAGGGAGGGCCCACCGACACCTACTACGACTACATCTGTGTGGTGGACTTTGAAGCGACGTGCGAAGAGGACAACCCCTCAGACTTCCATCATGAAATAATAGAGTTTCCCATGGTTCTTATCAGCACGCACACGTTAGAAATTGTAAGTGGAGTTTTCGACGAAGGCGGGGTTGTTTCGTTTTTAACCTTTTTGTTTTTAACGTTTTGTGTTTATGATTCGTTTATTTTACAGGTGGACTCCTTTCAGGAATATGTAAAGCCAGAGCTGAACCCGCAGCTTTCAGACTTTTGTGTGAAGCTAACAGGAATAACACAGGTTGGTTGAGTGGTTTCATATCAGTGTATTAATATGATCAGGAGTCTTCTTTTGTACGCTAATAAAATGTTTTGTTGAGCAGAAAATGGTGGATGAAGCAGAACCGTTTCCTGAAGTCCTTCAGAGGGCCGTCGCTTGGCTTCAGGAGAGGGAGCTCGGCACAAAGTACAAATACGCCATTCTGACCGATGGGTACGTTTGAATGCTGCAGAATCTGGACTGAATCTGTGTGTGTAACTTAACTTAACATAACTAACGATTGCACTTCTATATATCTTCTTTAAGGGCCTGGGATATGAGCAAGTTCCTCAACATCCAGTGCCGGATCAGCCGGATCAGATATCCTCAGTTTGCGAAGAAGTGGATAAACATAAGGAAATCATACGGAAACTTCTACAAGGTTTGGGCTCCCAAGTTAATCCTTTTAAGATGGGAGACTGAATGTAAATGTCTTTTATTTATCCCACAATGACTCCTCAGTGAGGTATATGGACATAAAACGTTATTTCTCACTAACTAAATCTAATAAATATGCAAACAAGCACATTCTGCAGTCAGTATTTACCTTAAATAAGCCAGTGTTACTTTACCAAATGTTTGATGGTTGAATTGCGTGGCATTGTTAAATCTTTTTCTGTCATCGTCAGAGCTAAGATAACTAATATGTGCTGATACTTGTCGCCTGAAACCTTCTGTCAGAAACATAAAGCACACAGACTTTGAGGGCATTGTCACAATACATTTCTCTCCGTTTGAAAGTGACAGGTTATGAAAGTGTACACAGAGTTCTTCTGCACAAAACCAAACAGAAAGATGTTTTTCATAAAATAAAGCGACCTAGTTAATTACACTGCGGGTTATTATAAACCTAAATATGCCAACCCTGATGATCCATATACTCTTGAGTCTGAGGTTTACATGAGTGTTAATATATTCTGTATTGATATCTTGTTTTTTGGTAACAACTCTTTAAATTAACCTAAAAATATTCCATCAAACTCACCGTATACGATGCAAAAGACCTTTTTCAGCCATTGTGACATGAACTAGTACTTCATTCAGGTCAAACAGAGTTGGGGTGCTGTCTACCCTACTATTTAATTTGAAACAGGCTGCTGTGAAAAAGGTCTATTTGCTGTTTAAAGGAAGTTTTTATGATTATTAGGATGATGTGAGCCCAATATCTCACCTTAGTTACCAGTTTTATGACTAAAGGCGTATCACAGAGCTGCTAATAACACGTGTTAAATGCCGACCAACTGTTTATAATTATAAATGTATCACAAACACCCGCAAACCACCAACCGGCTGTTTCCCCCCCCCCAGGTCCCCCGCACACAGACGAAGCTGAGCACCATGCTGGAGAAGCTGGGCCTGAAGTATGAAGGCCGTCCTCACTCCGGGCTGGACGACTCGCGCAACATCGCCAGGATAGCGCTGCGCATGCTGCAGGACGGGTGTCAGCTGCGCGCCAACGAACGCATGCACGCCGGCCAGCTGCTCTCGGTTCCCAGCTCTGCCCCCGTGGAAGGCGCTCCCGCACCACATAACCCCCGCAGCAAGGAGTAGACCAGAATCTGAGGCGTGTGCACACAGGAAACCCACGTCTGTCTTCTGCTCTTTACCCTCAGCGAGTTTAAAATAAAAAAAGAATAATAAAAAAAAGATCCAAAGCACTTTTAAGGTCAGTTTAGATGTACTTTTTTTTTCGTTTTGGAGTTTAAAAGCTGTAGTTAGCAAAGGGTATCTGAGTTTGACCCATAAATGAGGTCAATATTTTCATATGTGACGGTTCCTCTCTGACCTCCATATATTTTTACACCAGATGTCTGAGAACAGATCATTCCAGTGTGTTGTGGGAGGATTTAATTTTTCCCTCCACAGCTTCAGTGTTGTCAGTCTGTTAAAACCTCCCTCACTCTGCCTTATCCAGCTGCTAATATCCATCAAACGATTCGATTAAAATGCCTTCAGTTCGTCCCATGATGGTGCGTTTTAGTTTTTATTGCAGGTTTTGCTTCCAAGAACTCAAAACACATTTAAAATCTGTAATTCTTGAGGCATTGAAATGAAAGAATATTGATCATCTGCAGCTTCGGCCTTTTTAAAAACCCACATATCTGTCCCAGCTGTTGTGCAAGTAAACGCAAGAATCTATACATGTTGCTGCTATTGCTGTGCCGTTTTCTGTATTACGTAACAGATCCACACTGTTAGACTCTTTAGGTTCATTTTAAGGTTTGTAAACAGCCCTGTGGATTGCTCACATCACCATCAGTACTGACACCACATTGTCTACAAGGTGTTCATCTGACAAATTAACGGATGCACAGCTGAAAAGAAAGTCCGTCTGTTGTGAGTACTGTGTGACTTTAAGCCAGCATTGTGTCATCTTTTGTATTGAGATTGAATTAACTTTTATTTCAAGGAGGATTCTCTATTTTAACAGGAACAGATATTCTTCTGAATGCCAAATATTGCAAATAAAATATGTTTCTCTGTAAAAAGGGTTTTGGTATCTTTGTCCGATTACATCTTATTTTTCTGCATTCGGCATGATTATCAACCCTCATTCACTTCAATGGTAACTTAAAAAGGTCCAGTGTGTAACATTTAGGAGGATCTATTGGCAGTAATGTATTATGTTATTAATAAGTATGTTTTAATAAGTGTATAATCACCTGAATATTATAATTATTACGTTTTTGTTACCTTATGAGCCGGTTTTATCTACAGACTCTTACATGTTGCTACAGTAGCCCAAAATGACCAAACCTGCCACTACTGATGCCACTAAATGCTACACACCGGACCTTTAAACGATCAATTAATACAGGTACAACTTTATAAATCATGTTGAATCACGAGTCACCAAAAATGAAAAAATATGTATGGATCAAACTTTTAATATTCGTCTTTAGTCACAGAACCAGTCAAAAGGCTTTTTGGTCCAGATAGTGTTTCATATCTTTGGGCTTATTAAGTACATATAAAACTTCAATATTTCTATCAAAAATGTTCAGTTACATATTTAAATACACAGATCGTAGTGTCCCATACAGCTGAATGGTTGTACGTTCTCTACACATTCTTGGTTTCGAGCACTGAGGTCACATTGGCTTTTAGTGGTTTCCTTTGGGGACTCGTTACTTCAATACTTTAATGGTCTTTGGCAGCTTGTTTTCATTGTTAAAACACTTATTGGCACAGCTGCCCAATACACTTGGTGTTAAGTTGTTGGCTCACACACAATCGAGACTTTTTGGCACCGACGGTGTCAAACATATTACAGTGTTTGGTCCTAATAGCTAAAATCTGGAATCATCTGGGAGCAGTATTTTGTAGTGTTTATAAAGACATTGTACACCTTTTTAACTTCCCACCCAGTACACTTGAGAACCGTGAAGAGCTTTGAGGTGGTCCCTCACAGACAGGTGCTGTACAGCGTCACTTTTTGGCTGATCTCCTCCAGGATTCGTTGGATGGTTCGCTCCAACTCGGCCATCTCTGCCGCTTTGGCCTCCAGGATGCGCTGGTTGGACTCATAGGAGCTCTCCAACTCTGGAAACACAGGAAGTGACGTCACCGATTGATTGTATTTTTAACTTCTTTGTAAAAACACTTTGGTTTACTTTTGTGTTTTCTAATGTGATTTGACTTGAGATTAATTAAAATGATTAGCTTGAAATTATATTAGTGAAATGAATTGGGAAAAATGCAATTATTTAAACAAATCTTTTAAATTGTGAATATTTGCTGTTTTTCTGCAGTTTAAACTATCATGGCCCTAGGAAATTGGGAAAATTTAATATATATTCAGTGTGGGCTACATGAATTTTAAGAAATCATAGTAAAAACTGCAAAAAAACATGCAATATGAAAACACAGCACATATTTGTGGTTACCTCCGAGTCTCTGCAGCTTGCTGTTGCTCTGGGCGAGCAGCTCTTTGGCCTCCTTCTGCAGTTCATCCGCTTTCCTCCTCGCCTGCAGCACAGACTCCCCTCTAACCTCCACCAGGTCCTCGGCCCTCTCGAATTCATCTTTCACCTTCTCGTCAAACTCCTTCACACAAACAAACGAGTGTAACTAAGATGACGGCAGCAGATGAAAGCATTTTGTGTGTGTTTTTTCTGATAAAGCCGATGGTAAATTCAAGTGTAAGCCGTTTTTAAAAGGTAAGGATGAGTAAACGGTGTGTGTGAGAGACCTGTTGAGCCTCCTCTGCGTTCAGTCTGGCCTGGTCGGTGATCCAGTCGGCCCTCTCCGCCATGCTGTTCACCTCCAGGCTGTTCTGTCTCAGCAGGCCGACCTCCCTCTCCAGCTGAACCAGGCGACCCGTGGTGTTACTGAGCTTCAGCTCCGACATGGCCGTCTCCGACTCCACCTGACAGACGCACATTAAAGTGTGAGATAACGGGAGAATTCTGTAGCATTTATCATTACATGAAGCGCCGATCAGCCAGATAAAAGAGAGCCGACACATTAAATATGTGAGTTCATGAGGAAGGGAGGTGGGTTTCTGTGTGTGTTTCTTTAAGTTTTAAAGGAAAGAAATATACTTAATATGTAATAACTGTGGACGATTCAGATTTTAGGGACATCCTACGATACATTAGAGGAGCTCTCAAGCATGCCAACATTGCAGTGTGTATAAGATGTTGTTAACAGTTTACAATAACAGGTATGCAGTGAGATAATCACCAAGTTCAATACAAATTTAGCACAAACATCTAGAAAATAAGCAGAAGAAATGAAAATTAAAGCGCATGTCCGTCCACTACTGTTATGTGACGTTAGTTCATCAATATAAACAGTTGGTGGCGCTAATTTTCCAGTCAGGCAGATTAAACCAAACCTCAAACATTGGAAAACTGTGGGAAAAATTATGTAAATATTGTATTTATATCAGTTTCATGTATTAATACAGTTTCCTCATCGCTCCGCACAGATCTGATGTTTTCCACATCCATTACATTAGTGACTAAAACACCCAAATCTACAATTATTATTGATTACTGCACCATAACCTAGGAGGTCAGAGGTCAAACTCACAGAGATCACCAGGTCCAGGGTGCCTTTAGTGTTGTTCTGGGCCAGTTGGATGGCATCCATGGCGACAGTCTGAGCACGCTCAGTCTCATCCAGGGCTGCCTTCACCACGTCTGCCGTGTCCTTCATGTTAGACGCGTGCTCACTGAGGGACAGATGGTGACGATATTAATATTTGTTGTATTTATAGTATCATAACTTTATTTATACATCATGTGCAGACAAGCAGAGAAAATGAGGTGCTGTGGGGCTTTCACACAGTAGCTCATTCATGTTTTAAATGTTTGTAAAATACATTTTTAAAAGTTTGAATGATTAGTATTTTCAGTTATTTAGAAACATACAGACTTTAATTTGTGTTTTTTTCAACCTTGAACAGTTTTATTAAATTTTTAGGGTGATTATAAATAAAGATTTGTACATTTTAATAGCCATCTGTGTCTTTTTTGTGTATTTTCTTACACGATAAACCAGACTCATAGCTGAGTTTGTGCTGAAAAAAATGACACAATGAATGTGGGATAATTCTACTTAAAGAAACATTAATTAAAAATGTTGATGTATCTTCTGAAATATATCAAATATGTTCTTAAATATTCTCATCTGCTCATTTATACAAACGTGTTTGGGCTCTTTGCTCTATACTCAGGTGAATTAACTTGAACAACTGCCAAACAAGATATTAAAGTGTCAGTTCACCCAAATCATTTTCTTTGGTAGAAAACAGTTTTGAGGAAACAGTGTGTACACAGTGGCAGCTGGGACATTAATTCTAGAAGTTATGTTGCTATTAAGAGTTTTAAATGTAATGTTTTTGTATTTGTGTAGAAGCAGAAATCTCAAATTAGAAGAAGATACATACTGAAAAAACAAAACAAATATCTGCATGGGTATATAACATTAAACTGGAATTTGGGTGAACTGAGCCTTTTAAGATGAAGAAGATCCAAATGTCAGTGTGCGTGTTACCTGGCTGCCTTGGCCTGTCTCAGCAGCGCCTCTGCAGTCTCGATGTCATCAGCGCTCTGACTGAGGATGGACTCCACGCTGGTCAGAGTGCCGACCTTGTCCCGGATCTCTTTTGTCAGCTCCTGCAGCTTTTCCGTCGAGGTCGGCATCTCCAGAGCCAACACCTCGTTGGCCACTGCCTCAATCACCGCCACATCTGCCTTTTCATCTGGATTATGAGAAACAAAACAGAGTCGAGTTTATTGAGTGTAGTGGCTGTCCGAACTCAGGCGCCTCAGCAGGTGGTGACCTTCCTTTTGGGTGATGTTCCCATTTGTTGCAAAGATGAAAAGGATAAACATACATATACACCACACATACTACACTGAGAATGATCTAATTAATACACCTTGTGCTCATTTGTAATCAATACACACAAAAAAACGAATACTCCCCCTAGTGGTTAACTCAGAAACTACATATTAATGCCTCCTACTTTGAGTTCTCAAACAATATAGTAATCAGTATTGGATACTTTCAGCTTAAGTCCTTTGATTTTAGATCATTTTATTAAATATTGAAAATCAAACTCCCATTGGGAGGATGGGTGGTTTTTACATGAATGTTATCTGTGACACTGAAATTTGGGGTAAACTTTTCAAACTTCACTTGCTTCTATGGTTACTAAAAGTTACTTATCTTGAACAGCCAATATTGCAAAATATTTAGGCACGTATATGTAGTCTACTGTTTCCTGTATTTTAGATATTGATAATATTGTAACATTAAGATAAAGGTACATTTCTCCATAGAGTTTATTTAATTGACAATTGTAGTTGAGACAGTTGTAGACAGTTTGCCTGGAGCTATTTCTGTCTCCATTTACACCAATTATAAAAGATGTCTATTAATAAATGATTTAAACTAGTAAGGTGTTAGACAGTGATGGTTATGGCCTAGAATATCTTATAAATTACTCTGAATAGTAAAGACGAGACCCTGTAGAAAGATGTGGACAAATGCATTACTCTGCAGTGTTTGCGTTTGTGGTGTACTCACTGCTGAGCAGGTCTCGTATCTCTTTAATGAGGTTGCGGAGCTGCTCGTTGCTCTGCTCCACTCTTTCTTTGCTGCGGTTGGATTTGATCAGCACCTCCATTGCATTCACCTTGGCGTCGTTTGCGCGGGTGTTGGCCTCCCACACCTGACCACAAACAAAATCAGTGATTTTTCTCACATCCAACTTGAAGTATTCTACATATTTAAAGAAACAAATAGATGTTCGCTCACCATCCTGGAGAGCTTGTCCACCTCCTGCATCGCTGCTAGGATCTCCTTGTCCAGGTCTTTGGCTGATTTGAGAGCAGTCTGGGAAGTCATGACGAGGCCTTCACATCCTTCTCCGCCACAATGAGGTGCTTTGTCCTCGCCGACACAACCTAAACCACCGCAGGGGGAGCCAGAGCAGCTCTCACCTTCAGCTGCACCACCGCATGTCTGCAGAGAGAGA